CCAGGGACTGAAGGCAGGGCCTTATCTGGGCCCACAAGCAGGTGCAGAGACCCTGGCTGTTGGTGTGCTCCCCTGTGGCTGCACACTCTCCCCCTGGGCATGCACACTGCAGTGGAGGCCAGACTTGGGCATCAGCCTGATGGTGTGCGGGTGCACAGCTGAAAGGGTGGTCTCCCATGTGTGCTGTGTATACCCTTCTTCTGTAGTTGAACCTTGATTGCTCTTGGTATGTCAGTGGGAGGGATATACCCCTAGGCTGATCAGTTGCAAGGACTGTCTGCAACCACCAACTACTGTGGGGGATCAGCTGTGCAGAGGCCCACCCCACAGAGCAGGACTTACTTCAGCTGGACTCTGGTGCCCGCTGAGTCTGCCCCTTGAATGTGTCACTTGTGGAGGTGGCTGGGTGGTGGGGCTTAGATGTGGTGGGAGCTGTTCAGTTGGTGCAATGGTTCTGGGACCTTCTGAGAGGTGCAGCCAAAGTCAGCCTTTGCATGTGCTCTGCCCATGGCCACCTGTTGTGAGCTACAAAGTGGTCTGCAGGTGGCTGCTACTTGTGCAGGGCTTGGAGGTGGCTGGGAGAGGCCAAGCTTCTGAACCAAGGCTGGCTACTGCTAGTGCTTGGTTTGGGGCCACTTAGTGAGAGGTACAGGACATGCTGAGGCCAAACGCTGCTTGTTTGTGAGATTTTAGGAAAATCTGAAGAGCGAACCAAGATGAGTCATTCATATAAAAAAGCCACTGGAAACAACTTGGGTGGGCCTGAAAGTTGGATGGGGTAGGGCCACAAAGAATCACCAGGCTGAGGCAAACAGTGTGAGTCAGTTTGATGGAGTCTCCAATATGGTGGTGCCTGCTGGCTCTGTGGGGGGAAGGCTCATCAAAGAAATAAGGCCTCTGCCAGCACTTCTGTCTGGGAGAATGCAGCCCCTCTACCTCTCACCCTGATGCTGGACAATTAAGTACCTCCCCATATGTGTCTGGTGTCTTTCAAGCTGCTGCCCCAGTGCTGGAGCTCATAGTGACTGTGTGTGCACCCTGTAACAGGAACCACCTGGGACTCCAGAAGCCCTCCATCTCCTTTAACCTCAGTCCCCAGAAGTTATAGGGACTTATGTTCCTGGCACTGGAAGCCTGGGCTGGGAGCCTGGTGTAGGACTGGGAGCCCTCCCTCCTCAGAGGGTTCCTGTGCTGCTGAAATATCCCTCCCAGTTTTGGTCCCCCACACATGGGTTTGGGACCAGCATGTCTGCATGTGTATCCCTCCTCCCAGTCTCCCCATGGCTTCCTTAATTTCCTTGTCTTAAGACTTCCATTGAGCCAGATTTCAGGTGGCTCTGAATGATGGCTGTTGTATAGTTTAGCTGTAATTTCACGTGGTTGTGGGAGGAGGCATTTACCTATACTGCCATGTTGACCAGAAGTCCTTTGGTTATATTATTTATTTCTCTATTTTTATTTTTAAAAATTTATTTATTGCCCTGGTGTGGTTCAGATGGTTGGAGCATTGTCCTGTATGCCAGAAGGTCATAGGTTTGATTCCTGGTCAGGGCACATAACTAGGTTGCAGACTCAATCCCCAGTCAGGGCGCATATGGGAGGCAACGGATCCATGTTTCTCTTGCACAACTATGTTTCCTTCTCTCTCTCTCTCTCTCTCTCTCTCTCTCTCTCTCTCTCTCTCTTCCTCCCTTCCCCCCTCTCTAAAATCATTACATACATACTTTTTTAAAAATTATGTATTGATTTCAGAGAGAGAGAGAGAGAGAGAGAGAGAAACACCAACCTGTCATTCCACTTATCCATGCATTCATTGGTTGACTCCATATGTGCCTGATTGGGGATCAAACCCACAATACAACCTTGGCACACTGGGAACAAGGCTCCAACCAACTGAACTTCCTGGCCAAGGCTGGTTAGGTTTTTTTGGTTCTATCCTTGTTCAAGGGAGGGACACAAGTAAATTGCAGGCTCTCCTTTTCCTGTAAGTGGCTTTTCTTTGAAAGGTGCTATTTTAATTTTCTCCTCAATAAGCTCTTTAGGTTCTGTGACATTTTTAGATAGTTCTTCTAATTGGAATGCATTTGGAGGGAGAGGAGGAGGAGGTAAAGAGGGAAGATTGGGATAAGGATGGTCAGAAAAGCAGTGGACAAAGGGGCACAGGGGAGGGCTGAGAAAGGGTTTGAAGGTCATTGGCTTCAAAAGCCTTTAAAGTTCCAAGACAGTCTCTAATGCTTTCTTATTTATTTCCTATATTGGGGTAATTTTTTATTTCTTCCCTTGAAGCTTTGAGAGACCAATCAAAATATACTTCTCATATTTGCTCTTGTAGGTGGAGCCTGTGTACGTACGCATTGTACCTGAACCCTGCCAGAGTTCCAGTAGGAGGCTGCCCTTCCTTAGGTTTGCTAGCTTTTGAAGCTTGATTTCCCATCTTTTCTTTTTCCTTTTCATTTCTTTGGTAAAGTCCGTGCTGTCAGATCAGTTTCTGAGGATTTGTATGTAGCGGGTCAAAGTGTGCTGCTTGTGAGCTTTGCACACTTAGCACAAGGCGTCACCTTGAGTCTTCAGTTCTCTTGTGTGTCTTGGTTTTCCCTACTGTTGTCTAAAACTATGGTAGGTACTTGGACAGCAATTAAGTAGTCCTGAAACACTTCGATGTGCATTTTGTTTGGATGTAGAAAGAGCAAGCACTATTTTCTGCAACCCCAGGACCTTTAGTTTCAAAACTTTGTAGGTCCTCCACATGTGACTGTCCCCATGATTTGCCACAGGAGGAATTTAGATAGGCTCATTGTTCTTCCCTGATTACTGATTTAGTAATAGGAGCTGAAGTCCCCTTTCCTTTCCTCACAAGGTTGATTTAACATGTAAACATCAATTTATACAACACAACTTAATAAAAGAAGAAAGTGCTTAAACCACATGATCACCTCAACAGGTACAGAAAGAATATTTGACAAAATCAAATTCTGTACCTGTTCTGTGTTTTCATGATGAAAACACAAAACAAACTTCCCTGGCCACTGTGGCTCTGTTGGTGGGAGCATGGTTCCGTGTATCCAAAAAGGATGAGAAAGGAAAATCGTGGGTCAACCACACACTCATGACATGGATGCAAGAATCAGAAACACAATATTAGCAGACAGGATCCTACATGGGGTAGGAAGGAAAGTACATAATATACAATGACTGAAGTGGATTCATCTGAGGAATACAAACTTGATCGAACTTCGGTAAATGAAGTAACAAAATATTTCACATGAACAGATTGCAGGAGAGAATTATGATATCATCATCAGAAAAATTAGTAAGTGTAAATATCCATTTATGATGCTCTTTTTACAATTTCACTTAAAAGTGGGGATTACTGAGGTATAATTTATACACAGGGTCTTCTGAGTCCTCATAAATGCATATTGTCACAGAGCCACCACCACCACCAAAATATAGAACATTTTCTTCACCCCCAAATTTCTCCCTTCTCTCAACCCCCAGACCCCAACAACCACCAGTTTGCAGCCTGTCCCTACAGGCTGGCTTTCTCAGAATGCCATGTGATGGACTCGTGCAGGACGTGGACTTTTCCATTCGGCTTCCTTCCCAGAAAGGGACTTCTGGAGGTGCAATGTACCTTTTCTTCCCCTGGGTCCTATTACACGGCTTGATCACTTCACAGGTATTTGTCCAATTGTAGGTTTGCTGGTAACATCTCGCACCCTTGAAATGGTTAGGCACTTTAATTGTTGCAAACCTGGTGTGTGATAATTGATTTACAGTTTCAGTTTGTATCTTCAGGATCAGTGACAGTGAGCATCTTTTGTGGTGTGCATGGGCCATCGGGATTCCCTCTTTTCCAAATTGACTCAGAGTGGGTGCGGGGCTGAAAGAGCAGGGCAAACTCCAGCACATCTGCCAAAGTGGCCCGCCAATAAATTTCCCAGAACACCAAGCCATGGGCCAATTTGATCACCCATCGTAATGGTAGTTGAGTTGTGACAAAGACACTACAGCCCATCAATATGACAACATGTGCTCTCTGGCCCTTTAAGGATAATGTAGGCTGACCCCCACCATTGACCAAGGGCCTCTGATGCCCCTTTTCCTATTGCGTGGTAAGTCTTCCCCCTGCCTCCCTCCCTAGCCAGACACCTTCTGTCACAGGAAACAGGGTGTCAACAGGGCGGGACCCAAGTCACCTCATCTCCTGTGTGAGATTTACATGCAGGGGTCATTTGTGGCAGTGTCACAAACTGTAACTCCAGACCTGGAGTTTCAGCAGAACAGGGTCTTTTCTGAGAAGTCCTGTTGGGCCACAGGGCTTGTCTCCCAGGGGCTGGTTGTGACTGCAGCTCTGCAAGTGTCCAACCCAGAGCTATACACATTTTTGGGACCACAGTCCTGGGTGGGCTACCCCTGGGACACAGGTCAGGGGTGCTCAGAGAGAAGCAGGGAGGTGCTGGACACAGCAGGGGCACCTTATTGCCTGCAGAGGGTGGTGCTGCCTCACATTAGACCCCCCGAAGCCCTTTCTTCCTCCCTGGGAGTTTTGGAAGCTGGATTTTGTGTTCTTTCCCTCTCAGGTGACCTGGAACCTCCTGAGGAACTCCCAAGACCTGAAAGGCTGCAGCACCCACAGCCACAGCAACCACCTGGAGCAGAGGCTTGTCCTCAGGTAAAGCTTCCTCTGGCTCCTAGAAATGCGGTCTAAACTAGACTATGGGATCTGTGTCTGGGCTCAAGTGTCCTGTCACTGATGCCCAACACCTCACCACCACCACCCTGCACTTCCTGGAGAGTATGTGCTTCCTTTTCCACTGAGGAGCCCTGGCAGATCTTTCTCCCTAGATGGGGGGAGGGGGCATCCAGGGGAGAGGAGGCCTGAATATGCTAATCATTTCTCTTTCTCTTGTATCTGCTGGCCTAGTGCCTAGAGCTACTGAAGGAAATACACTACCTCAGATGACAACTTGGTATGAGGAAACTGGCCTGGCCTGGGTCAGGGCCACCAGCAGACTTACCATGGGGAGGGAGAGGCCTAGGATCCCAAGGACCAACGTTCCTGTGGGAAATTGAACCCAGCACCTTGGACCTGGAGCCTCCTGTGTATGCACAGCCAGGTCTGTGGACTACAGGGAAGTGTGGTTTGAAATGCAAGCACAGTGTGCCAGCCCCAACCAGTCCTAGAGCTCTCCTTCCCTAGGATGTGTAGAGATGCTGCCTCTCTGATTTTCCCTTCAATACTGCTGGGTATGGCTTCTGTGGGTCTTGTTTGTCTGACAAGTTCTAAGTGGTTCTGATATGCCCCCAAGCTTGAGCACTCCTGGGCACATGTTGTCCTGCCTGGAAAACATGTCCACCTTCCATTCAGGTGGTGGGGGAGGGAGTCAGGCCCAGGGCTCCTTGGGTAGGGTTCTGCAGGGGGTTTCAGATTGCAAGGTTAGGCACTTACCCACAGAGACATGAGATATGAGCTTCTGTATTCCTCTGTCTGGAACACTCGCTTATGCCTGTCTGTGTTTCAGTGGTCATGGAGTCTTTGAGTGACAAGATCCTGAAACTTTGAGGTGAGTGTTACACACATCATACCCCTTTCTCACAGTTGTAGCTGTTGAGAAGTGCTGTGGGCTGGCCCTGGGTAGACGTTCCTCCCTTTGTTCTGTTTGACAGGTGGAACCTAGCACCTTCCTGCAAGAACAGCAGTTGGTACCCTTGCACTCTGTGAGCTGTGGCCAGCTGGTTCTCACCTGTTTTGCTTCAGCCAGTGTTTTCTTGCTCCCTTCTTTTGCTTATTTTCACATTAAAGTCTCTCTGAAATTCTGTGGTCTTTGTTGGGGGTAGGGCATGTGGACGTGGGTGTCTTGGCTGGGAGGGTCTGGAGCTTCTCCATCTCAGAGCTCTTTGCACAGCAGTAGGCCTGGCATTCTGTGGTGGGCTTTTTGCATGCAGGGCTTCGGGGCCAGCATGTGATAGGAGCCCTGCAGTCAGGCCACCTGATGCCCTGGGCCTGGGCTCTGGGTGGCTCTGCCTGGCCACATTGACATTTCCTGCTTTTCCCCTGTAGCCCCTCTTGTGACTCTGTCCTGCTGTCATCTGCATTTGGAGTCTCATCACATTTGTCACTGAATTTTCCCTTGCCTTCAGGAACTCATGACCCCCTTCCAGAGTTCAGTCCCTCTAGCCATCAGTCATCTGTTCCTGGGTGGGTGTTCCATCTGCCCTACATTGCTGTCTGAACATCCTTGATCTCCCCCCAGGGCTTCCCACAGTGGCCTTGTCTGAACCTGTGATTCAACAGGTGTAATAGTGCCCAGTTGAGCTCTTCTCCCTAGTTCCCAGGACCAGTCACTGCGGAGTCCTTCCCTCCCTCTGGGGCCCATGTGCACATGTACACTCACCCAGGAACCTGGGGGATATTTTCCTCCCCTTTAGCTCTCACCTTTGACCCTCAGGTATGAGCCCAGTCAGGTCCTTTCTTGGATTGAATGGAGGGGTGGAGGAAGAAGCCACAGAGCAAGGTCTTCTAAATTAATGCAGAAGGTTCAGGGAACATGGGAAAAATGGTGCAAATAGTTTCCAGTTAATGGTCAGGGAATCAGTCTGTTGTGCTGGGTTGGGGCCAGGTTCTGGAAGGAGCAGTCATATCCTTCCTGGCCTACCCAGCCAGTGCTCCTCCTCTAGCCTAGTAGTCTCCACACCCTGGAGTGCAAAGTGACCACCAGGTTTCTATGGTGAGGGCAGTTGGTAGGTCTTAATGTTGTTGAATGGTCCCCTTCAAATACTCCTCGTCCTGCCATGACACAGGTTTTCTTAGTAATGGTAGGTCTGTGCCCCAGCTCAGTCCTCCACATTCTCTGCTTAGGTCACACAAGATTGAGTGTGACTCTGTGTTCAATTTCCCCTCACTGACGGCTGGGAATTGGTTCCTTCCATCAGCCAGGACCGAGGGCTGTGCAGGCCTGGGACTCAGGACACACTTGTATTTGAGAGGGTTGGGGGCTGGTTCTGCCAGACTCCATTCCCAAGAGACTGGTATTTAATATGCAAACAGGGGACAGTGGTGGATAGAATATTCAAGGTAGGATGAGAGTGTGTGTGTGTGAATGAGTAAAACTAACTAGGGCTGGTGTTCCTTGAGGAGAAAAATGGTGAGGGAGTAAGGGAGTTAAGACTGTGGTCAAGGCCCTTAACACATGGAGGGAGCAAAACCAGGGTGAGATCTACTTTTATCAAGGGGCAGTGTTAACTTTTCTGACACATTGGAGGAGGGGATGATGTAGAAGTTATGACTTCTGGAGGCGGGGTGTCCAGAATCTGAAAATGTTGGAGTTGCTGGAGGTGGCTATGGATCATTACTGTGCAGTACTATAATGTCTGACCCCTCCTGGAGTGAGAAAGGGGAGGATGGCCACCTCAGACTAGGGGACACATCTCATCCTAGATGACCCCATATGTGCCAAGCCAGGCATAGGCAGGATGGGTGAACTGAAGATGCAAAGTAAAGCAACCGCACCTGGGCAATTGGGCAGACTCGGTTCCACCGTTCCTCCACATTCTCACCCCGTCTCTCTGCCAGGCCCTCTCCATGAGCTGAGATAGACAGCCCATCATGCATAGAATGTGACAACTATAGACCACAGCACCAGAAAAGAGTGTTCATGGGACTTCATCCTTCTACTTCAAATCCCTCACTTCAGAAATTAGGCTCAGTTGCTCAGGTTGTGCCTGTGTCTCTAACCTAGCGGTTATTTCCTGGCAGGGTGACATGTGTCTGAGTGACTAAGTTTGGAAGAGACTTTTCAGGTGGGCTTTCGGCCTACAACACATATAGGCAGGTTGCGATGGAGGCAAGTCCAGCACAGGCTCTGTCCTGAGTGCCCTGGGGCCAGGATGGCCAGGCTGAGGAAGGCAAAAAGTGCACTGAAGGGGTCATGGGAGGCAGGAACACAACATGCAGTGGCTAGTTTTACCTGCCTCCCTTGCCTCCTTGAGCACATGCTCTCCCACTTGCATATGGAGACCAACTTGGGCACAATAATGCTGCTGTAAACTTGCACATCACAGGTCGCAGGCCATCTCATTGCCTTCAAGTTCCAGGAGAAAATAAGGGGCAGACAGTGAGGCATAGAGTAAAGAAACACATCGAGGCCCCAGGGAGATTGATGAGGTTGAACCTCAGCCCTGATTCAGCGTGCCCCTTGTGTCTTTTCCCTCCAACCTCTCCAAGCTGGGAGGTAGCTGGCCTGGAGAGCCCTCCTTTTCCAGGTGGCCTCCTGCTACCAATGAAGTACATGGGCAGATCCTCAATCCCACCCCCAAGACAACCACCACTACCACAAGCATCCCCCTCAGCATAACCTTAACCAACCAACTGCTCTCAGCAGACTCTGGGGAAATTGGCACACCCAGACAGTGTAGGAGGTGATCAGCACAAATAGGGAGCTGAGAATGGCGGGCAGAGTAATGGTGCCCAAAGATGACCACATCTTAATGCTTGGAATCAGCTAGTATGTCATCTGGCATAGAAATGGGGGGTTACCTTTGCACATGCAATACTCGTGCTACTCAACTGACCTTAAGGTAGAGTGTATTATCTGGATTATCAATTCAGCCTCAATCTCATCTCAAGGCTTTGAAGTGGAAGAGGAAGGTAGGAGAATAGACCATGGTGATGTGCTATGAGCAAGACTTGATCCTGCATCACTGACTTGGAAGATGGAGAAAGGCAGCCATGAGCCAAGGAATGCAGACAAATTCTACAGCTGGAAGGATGGTGAAATTGCTTTCTTCTAGAGCCTCCAGAAGAACACGCTTCCCTACTGACACCTGGACATTAGCCCAGTGGTTTCTGTGTCTTAGCCTGCCCTCCAGGAGTATAATGCAATAAACTAGTGTACTTTTCCAGGCACTCAATTTGTAGTAATTTGTTATGACAAGAATAAGAAAGTAATTCTCTAAGGGATAACAACATTTCAATGGCCACTCAGCTTAGAGGGAGCTCTGGAGATTTGTTGGCACATGTATGTACCCAGCCTTGATGCAGCTGTGGTGCTGAAGCTTTGAGCCAAATTCCACATTTACAGCATGCCTGGGATCTCAGGTTTTCATTTCCAATAAGACCTTGAAGTTTGTAGGCAAGGTAGATGGTATCTTTTGCAGACTGCAAGTAGGATGGAAGGTGAGCTTGAGTCAGTAAAGGCAGCCATCTGTGACTGTGGCAGAGGACAAGCACAGTGCCCAGGGGGATCTGTGATGGTATCCTAGGATGTTTGAGAGACTAGTCTTTGCTGTCAGTAGTTCCTGGGTGAACTTCACCCCTTCATGCACATCTGTCTCTCAACAGAGAGCTTTAACAGCTAGCAGAAGAAGGAATAAATAACATATTGGTGAATATCAATTGTAATTACCCAGTCAGAAGTGCACATAGAACAAAAAATGAAAATGAATGAAGAAAGATTACAGGGCTTATGGGACACCGTCAAGAGAAATAATGAAAGCTTTGTTGGAATCCACAAGAAGAGAGGAAGAAAGGGGTAGAAAGTTTATTCAAATAAATAAGGGCTGTAGTCAGGATGGCAGAGTAGGTAATGTTGTGCTTGCCTTTCCCTACAACCACAGCACAATTACAACTGACTGATAGAACAACCACCATTGTATTTGGAGATAGGACCTTTAGGGAGGTAATTAAGGATAAATGAAGTCATAAGAGCAGGTACCTAATCTGACAGGACTGGGTCCTTATAAGAAGAGGAAGAGACACCATCTCTCTCTCTCTCTCCCCCCGCCACCATGTGCACATAGGAAATGCTATGTGAGGATACAAGAGAAGGTGGCCATCTGCAAGCCAAGAAGAGTGCCCTCACCAGGAATGCAATTTGCTGGCACCTTGAGCTTAGACATCTAGTACCCAGAACTATGAGAAAACAAATTTCTGTTGCTCAAATCACCCAGCCTGTGGTATTTTGTTTTGGCAGCCAGAAAAACTAATACAGATTCCATAACCCAAAAAATGTTCAGAGCCACTGGAAACCCATCCGGGACATTCATGTTTTACTGCAACATGATTCTAGATATTTTGCACATTTCTTGAGTTTTTAAACTTTTATATACATATTTAACATAGTTGTAATTATAGTATATACACAAATTTGTTTTCCTTTTTCTGTTCAGAACTGTGCAGTATATTTATTATTGCAACATAGTTCATTTTCTAATAGTAGTATAGCTCAGTTTTGGATCTATATAAATCCGTAGACCAGAGTTTAAATCCTGATTCCACCACCTACCAGCTGTTTCTTCTTGGACAAGTTATCATACTGGAACAAGTTATCATACAAGAGACCATCTATGTTGCTTGCAGAGTCAAAGGTCCTACTTGGATATGGAAACCAGAGATCCCCAGCATATCCCCTTCATTCCCACTGGCCAGAAGTTAAAAACGTGGAACACCATTTTACATAACAACAGATGAATTCCTAGGAATGAGCCTTCTTAGCTTTGTGGGACTGAACAATGATCAAAATGGTCATCAATGCATTTTCTGGACTGATTTGTGACCAAAAGGGGGAAATGCAGAAAGGAAGGGAATGTAAGGACCTCAGTCTAAATAGATAACAAGGGAAGAATAAAGAGTCTATCTAAAAACTCCTGCTGTGACAAACCATGGGGGATAGTCATTCACATACATCGAGATATATAGCTTCAAAACTAACAGTCAGTGTTACAGAAAACAGTGCCTGCTCTTCCTACTTCCAGATTGTTGACATAAGAAACGTCCAAACCTGTTGAGAATTTTTATAAGAGTTTCATG